GCTCCGCAGGCTGAACTGCTAAACCCCAACTTTAGCCGCGACCCTAATCACTAATCTAAGCCTGTGCTTCTTGCAATTCTACACCGTCTAAAGCTGAAAGAAGCTAGTGGGGGCGGAACGTCCGCATCATGCAGGCATCACGTGAACTACGACCCGACACCACCTCCCCTTGCTCTGCTCAGATCTGATCAGCCTGGATGCTGGGATCCGTCGTAGCCATCCTTCAGCCAGTGCTCGTGGTGCGTGTTGAGAACCACCTGGGATGGATGGCTCCAAGATGTTTTGAAACTCCCATGCCAGGCCCATAACAGGCTGAAAGTACTGAAGACAAGCCACATGGAGGCCCAAGCCCAAGGCATAGTCAACAACTTCTGTGACTTGCTTTGTGAGCTGGGAGTTGGCATCGAAATCTCAGGGCAGAACCATAAGGTTCGGGAAACTGGAGAAGGAAGCAACCCGTGAGTCTCCGGCGTCCGTCCCATGTGACAGGCACGCGAACATGTCCGAATCCTGTCGAAGAGCTCGGAATTGAGCACATCACACGGCTTCTGATGCTCGGGATTCAGGATTTTGCAAGGGCTTTGCAAACTCAGGTACCGAGACCCAACCATTCCGCAACATTCCCGCGTCCGGAGTCCCAAGCTTACATAAGCTGCCCACCCCAAACTCAACTGCGCTTTGGAGTCCTTGGTCGTGAGCCCACTTGACTTGTCGCTTGACAACCGCAGGGTCGCGATTGCCCTGGTTGAAATCGTACACGTTTCCCAGGTTGATCCTGCGCACAGCAAGTCCCTCGCTGCAGCAGAATCAGAATGTGACAACTAAACATCTAAACATAGTACGGACATGTTCAGTGGTTGCACTTCGAGCCAAGTCTCCCTCGGCCCATGTTCTGGACCGTGCCTGGAGCTCTTTTGAGGTCAAGAGAAGCGGGTACGCTACTCGCCGCCTTCTGCAAAGTAGTGACGCAGTGTTTCACATACACCACGAAAAATGGCGAATCATCTGACCTCAAGTCTCCGCCAAGCTGCTACTGCAAGACCATGTTTGAGCGTGGCTTTGAACGGTGGCTTCCCGCTGGATTGACACCACCTGCAACAGACCAGAACAGGATCTGAAGGACGAGATCACGACCCGCCAACGCCCTGGCGCTGCCTTCGAATGTCTGTGGGTCGAGTTGGTCCTTACGTGCGGGGTTCCGGAATGGCACTCCAGCCGGACGCTATGAACTCTCACTGCCGTCTTCAGACTACACCACACCAGTGTGCTCATTCGCACAATATGGCAGATCCCCGACACTGCGTGGCGTAGCGTACAGGCGGCTACACTGCGAAATCACATCAGCCAAGCAACTCTTGGAGTGCACGACCACCTTCACCAGCATCAGCCTTGCAGGACAGAGCCCCGTCGCCGTCGACTCAACGAATGATCGCCACAAAACAAATCACAACGTCGCCGAGCAACCTTCTGAGCTGTCAGCGTCCTCAGCTGAGAAGTTGGCAGAGCACACGCAAATGTGACAAGGCGGCCACGTCGACGAACAAGCCAAACAACAACACAGCTCCAGCTAGAAGAGTTGGTAGGCTAGTAAACATATGCCTTCAGCGCAGTTGAGTTGGTGCGCTAACGGCCTGTGCTCGCGACGGAGATACAACTGTGATCATTGGACTCGCGATGCAGTGGCCGTCGAAAGATGGTTTAATTACGCAGATTTGATGGCTATGAGCTGGGGCGGGACTGCACAGCCTTCAACCTATACTCTCGGTCGGAGAAGAGAGCTTGTCATGATTTCCGGGGACTAAAACCTTGTCGGATTCCGGTCGCGACGTGCTGAATGTCTCGTGTACACAAACTTAAATGCGCAGCCCTCTTCGCACTGCTGAAAAACACTGAGTTTGTGTCGCATGCAGATACATCTTTAACATGTGCTTTGCAGACCTTGGCTTTCAAGCTGGTTCAAAGGACGTTTCTGGGGAGCCTTCCATGAAAGGCGACATTCCTGTGAGGGCACATGAGCCGAAGCATCGCAGCATGTTCGGCCATGACCATAGCTTGAGAAAGTGCCAGTTCGTGGCTCCAGCCAATGCCTCTGATTGCTGATGGAGCCCCTGTTGCGGGATAGCGGTGCTCCCAAAAAGAGTGTGGAGAAAACTGTTGTTTCGCTGATGCCCAAAGAGCCCCCGCTGACATTGAGAGAAGAGGCTGGATGAGTGAAGCCGCTTCAAGAGCATCAGCGGCCTCATGCGAAGGACTGCGGACGTGCATATGAGCTGGATTCTAACATCTGCTTTAGGCTTCGGGGTTCGTCCTTGCTTTGCCAGCATGCAAACCCTTATGAGGAGGTCCCCGACCGGTATCGAAAATGTCGTTGTGTGAGGCCCTTGCACAGCCCTCGCTGCTGCATTCAGCCAGCGCAACAGGCAGCGTGGCAGCAAGAATCCGCCATGCACGTCGCCTGTCTCAATACTCGGGGGAAGAAAGGTCAGCAAGGCATCAACCGGTCTGCGATTGCAAAGTTCGAAAAGATGATTCTGGAGCAGAAGCCGTACATGCACCAAGTGCTTTCGAGTCGCATTGTGCAGATCCACGCTGCCGGGCAGCTTTTCGGTATCGATAGTAGAGCCCGTGAGCTGCGGGATCGCTCACACTGAGAGGATCGAAACCCCCACAAAAAGGGAGAGGCATTGCACTAGACTGCTCCCTTGCGCCAATGTTCTTTTTGCAGGGACTTGTGCCGTGTTAGAGTTTAGAGGAAGCACATTGGCATCCTTGCTTCTCTTTGTTCTTCGACGTGCCGGCAAGCTTCGCTGTGCCCAGCCAAGCACAGCGAAAATCCGATCAACCGGCCTTCGTGCATGCACACCTCGGGGCCTCATTGGTAGGGCGTCACAACCTGCGTGTGCAGTCCCAGCCTCGGTTCGCGTTGCGGCTCACGGTCGAAGGTTGTTGCAGCTTCAGACGAGGCACTGCTGCTGGTTGTAGATACCGAACCATCCTTGGCGGAGAAAGCAGCAAGGGACAACTCCTGCCCCTGCCATTCTCCAAGTCAAGCGGCCAGGATCATCCCAGGCCTGGGCTGCGATTCAGCAACAGCTCGCTTCTCAACATACATCTTGTCGTTCTTGTCGAAACCTTGACGTGGCTTCATGATCTGCCGCCGTGGCTCAGCAACGGCCATGCCGCTCTCGCGGAAGTGGTTGGCCCTTGCGGCTGGTGCACTAGAGAGCAACATTCGAGCAAAAAAACTAGGGCAGAATGCACAAGTAGCAATAATGATGCCAAGAAGCCAGTCAACCAGCATTACATGTGTTAGAGCCACCTACTCAACCCCACGATGCCGAGATTCCGAAATTTTGCGTCAAGAAGCGTAAACTTGTAGTACTCTCGGACTATTTCGTTGTCTCTATCCCACTGTCGATCCATCTGGCGCCCAACACCTTGGCTCTCACAAGCTGTAGCTGACGATGTGTTACTTTTCGACAGATGACTCCCATCGTAGTGTAGAAAATACAGGCAAAAGCAACCGTCCGTGAGATCATACCTGTCTGCCGAACCTGTGCTAGGAAACCCAAACGCATGAATTTCTTTTCTCAGCTCCGTGCCGTACTCGCCTACATACACAGGGATGAACGTGTCCTTGGCTGCACAAGGTCGGAGAGTCGCGGGAGCAGCTGGAGACTTCAAGCTTCTGAGATGAATTCTGAGAGTGCGCATCACCCTGCTGCACTTTGACATGCCGTTGTGTGATGCAGGTTGGTGGGTGTGGGAAATGCCAAAAGCATCCGCTCCAGAGCCCTCCTAGAGGCGAGCTGAGCAATTGCTTGTACCATTTCTGGAGTCTGGTCCAACACACGAATCTGACCTCAAGGAACATTCGTTCTGTCTCCATGACTTGTGTCCAACCCGATCGCCTGCCATGCATATGTCATCATCATAATCAGCATCCGCACCAGCATCATCATCACCACCATCATTATCACCATCGAAATTATCATAAGCATCATGGTCGTCGTCCTCTTCCTCATGACGATCGGCAAGATCATCCTGACGGTCGCTATGTGTGCAACACACTGCTGGGAGCTTCAACCTAAGCAGAGTAGCAGCTAGCAGGTAGCAGTTTGCAGCGATATGTTTGCACACGAGGTCCAAGCAGTGATTGCATGTAGAATGTCATGCGCTCCAAACATCTGGAAGAAGTGTGCAGAAGACACGCGCTGGACAGGCTTGTGCTTGTCACGTGCGACCATGTTCCGGACAATCACTGCCTCTTCGCAGTCGTTTTGAGTGTACGCGAAGCGTGACTACACTTTTTTGATGTATCCATGTTAGCATTTGTCTATACATCCTGTCTCTCCCTTCATCGACCTATCCGGTCTGCCCCATCTCACGACCCATCTACCTACGAGTTTATCTGTCTGCATCTGCACCTCCGGGAGCGGGGTCTTCACGGGACAAGTCTCGAAGGCCCAATCGCGGATGTCTTTGAACTGGGAGCTCAGATCTCGCAGGGCCGGCACTTCAAGAGCCTACACCTGCTCTCAGACATGCGTTTCACTATGCTAGCACTGCCTGCTCGACATGAACGGTCCCCGAAGCTGCCTTTTTTCATGGCGTTGGAATTGGCATAGTACTCGGTGCGGCCATTCTCGCCGCAGAAATCATACGGATCCTGAACTCTGCAATTCGTAGCTGTCGCAACAAATAGCATGATTGCTGGTACAATACCATGACATGTCCGCGCCCCCTGTCGCTGGTACTCAACCATGCGAAGCGTAGGTAGTCATGTCAGCTGCCACTCCTTCCGAAGCTGGGAACCCCGAATCCTGTTGCAACGAAAACTCCTGGGCAGATGACATTACAGGCTTCCTTTTTGGACTCCACTCCGGTGAACTTTCATAACATTTCATAACTCTCGTACAGAAGAACAACTTCGTGCGATGGGGATCCGTCAGGCGATGGCACTGTGTTTCACTCTTCTACAGGTAGTCACAACAGTGTCTTCGGAAGGTGACCGGGTACCAAACGCAAGTCAGGCGCATATGTGTGCACGGTGACGCCCACGCAGGCCTGGACTGTGGTAAGACAAGCATTCACCAATGAGACGAGTGCATTAACTCGCAGAGGCTGCCTCGCGAACGAACCGGGCCCGACGCGGACTCGTCAAAGACTCAAACCACTCACCAAAGTGCAGCTGAGAAACATCAGTGCCTTCTCCCGGCAGACCCGACTTCGAAGGGTAAATTGATTTTGCAGTGCCTGCAATAGCTGAGCTCGAGTCGGATTGGAAGGCTTCTATCCAAGGTCGAAAATCGCGAAGCGGGACGGCCGCCTATGCTCGACATAGCGTTGGGGTGCAGGAAGATCATGCGGTCCTGCCAGGGTAATAGGGGGAGATCGTGTGACCTGGATGCCTCGGTGACTGATGCAGCACGGAAAACTATGCTTAGGGAGTAGCGGTGCGAAGCTTTCCAGAAGGACTCCTCTACCGCAGATGCCGTGGTTGTGACATGAGCGCTTCCAGAATCAAGCCGGCAAACCACGTTGCAACTCCCCAAATTCTGTTAAAACTTAAAAGCCTGGTTCTCAAACTTCTGGTTGCCAGCCTGATTGCCCTCAACGCTGCGGATGGCACTGTAGCCCAAGCCGTTAATCTCCCGCGTGCGGTCGATCGCAATCCTGCAGCGACGAAAAACCCAGGCATGTGAGGACCGCAGGAAAACTTGTAGCTGAACACAACCTCGGAAATCGTCAGACGGTATTTGCATGTCGATTCCTGCATCTCAAGTGGCATCTTCAGAGGTCGAAGATGCCGTTCGCTGAAATGCTTCAACGCCAAAGTTGCGAAGTAGAGAGAGCGAGAGAGAGAGAGAGAGTGGGAAGTTGAAATTCGCAGGTACAGCAGGCTGGACATTGAGATGAAGAAAGCCATGCAACCAATGGCTGAAGCCCGGCGTTGCGAGCAGCAAGGACCTTTGACCACTCTGGCTGCATACAAAGTTCTGGTCGAACGGATCTGGATTCCCGTTCCAGCTTCCGAAAGCCTTGTCCGGCTCCTCAGCTACTTGGCGAGGTCAATTCTGCACGCGCTTTCGGTGTCTTCGCTGGTGCCCATACAAAGAGCCTTCGTTAGGCTCTGCCCTGCGGCCTAGATGCGTTGAGCACTTCGAAGCTCAGCCTGCCTCGGCGCTTGCGCGAGGTGCGCAGCCAGCACA